CCAAGAGTTTTATTTGTGAAACAACTGTATATATTTTAATCTAAATTTGGTATTTGGGTTCAGTCTAAATCAAACTTTGTTTTACGTGAAGCTCAAATCAAAATGTGTGCATTATTTTAGAAATAGCTCTTGTACCAAAAAGTATAAATTCAGGCATAAGCAACTTTTGTAGGGCCTCAAGCCAGATCTAGTTTACTCATGTTGAAAATTTTTATGTTGTCTTATCAATATTTATTGTCATGATTTCGTTGTAGTGGATGTTTAGTGAAAGAAGTAGCTTTGTCACTCTTCTTCAAGTTTTATAATGAATTTTTTGATTTTAGTATTATTTTGTGACATCTTTACATTCCAGTTTAACTGGCTGTTTCTAGGATTAAGAAATTTCTCACACTCGTCTTATACTACATATCAGAGAAGCAATGCCAGTAGGTTTCATTATACTATATTTGAAAGTACTTGTTTTAAGCCATCTTCATCAGATGACTAATTTACCCCAAAACATTATAATATGCAATTACAATTGTGTTGCCTGTTTGTGTAAGTTTATTTTGTAGCATACAGTAGTGGTAAAAAAATCTTAATTTTAATTTGCAAATATTTTTTGCTTTAACCTTTGAGAAGCATCTTGCAGACACAGCATGCTGTGGTATAATCAAGAGAAACTAAAACAATTATTTTCTGTAAGTTGTAAAAGTTGGTGTTTGAGGTACAGCTGCCTGAGGAACCAGATAATGTAAGAGAAGAAAAAGGTTTTGTTTAATTTCACATTTTAAATCAAAAAATGTAATGTGTTTTATGTATAACATTTGTTATATTTCATTATAGTTGGCTGTTGGGAATTATTTATCAGCCATCATTATTTGGAAATAAAAAATTATTGTACTATTATTTCTGACAAATGTGAAAGTTCTGTTAGATTAATTTAATTGTTGTGCTTTTCTCCAGGTTGGATGAACAGTTGTATCTGGAAAGATGTGGGATTCTGAGGCCACCCCTCTTTCCTGCACTACCTCCTTCATACATGTACATGAGGTACCCACAAGATATGCTACCTTCACCAATTGGGCTCCTCTCACCTGTTATGCATGAAAGGTGAGAAAACTAATGTATCAAATATTTTGCCTTGTGGTAATAGTTATTGTTTGTTTTTGTTGAAGTTTAGATGACCTTTTGTCCTCCTCCTCCTCCTTATTCTTTCCATTGTGCTAGAGTAGCTGTCAGGTTGTGAACTTTTATTCCTCTACGTTATGAGCTCCTTTTATTTCATTTTTTGTTTCATTACTGTGGTATAATACAGTATGTAAATGTCAGTGATGGAAAGATGTTGATTTTTCATTGCAGTTAAAATTTTGTATTTCTTGTGACATTTCTCTGAAACACTTCTTTTTACTACCAGTCAAGTTAGTGTGTGCTGTGCACAAATACATACTACTGGAAGCATTGCTTAAAAGGAAGTGAGGGAATGTTCCAAGAAAATGTGTGTACTGAGGTGTTGATACAGCCTGTTGACTATTAAACATGTGATGTTGGTTAGCAAGTGGTTCACTAATAAGTTTATTAAAACACATATGTGTTGGTATCTGTGTTGAATTTAGCAGAAATATATCCCAGTGCATCAAGTCCAGTGAGAATATATGTGCCTGTAGAATGTGTATAATATATCCATAACCAGT